CCCTTTGCTATCATTTTGGTGAAGGACTCTGGGGACAATACTATAAGAGAAGATACTATAAGTTTTCAGACAGGAAACAATATATCATCTGGACTTCCCTAGTGGCACAGTGGTTAAGAGTCCGCCTGCCAATGCACGGGACACGGGTTCGAGTGCTGGTCCAGGAAGATCCCACGTGCCACAGAGCACCTAAGCCCGCGAGCCACAACTACTGAGCCCACGCACCGCAACTACTGAAGCCCGCAAGCCTAGAGCCTGTTGCTCCGCAACAAGAGAAGCCACTGCAATGAGAAGCCTGCGCACCATAATGAAGAGTAGCCCCTGCTCGCTGCAACTAGAGAAAGCCCATGCGCAGCAACGAAGGCTCAACACAGCCACAAAAATATATACATATATTTTATATCTATATCTATATCTATAGATATATATATCATCAAAGAATCAGTGACACTGGATTCTCAACCAGCAACACTGGAAGTTTGAAGACAATGGAATAGAATTTTACAAATTCCGGGCATGAAATCAAACCTAGAATTTGTGTATCCAGTTAATCTGTCAAATAAACTTGAAGATCTGTAAAGATATTTTCAAGCACACAATATCACAAAAATTTTATCTACTTTGTGCCCTTACCCGTGAAGCTATTAGGATAAGATCCTTGGCCAAAATGAGAGAATAAACTAAGAAAAAAGGAATTTGGGGAAATAGGTTATTTACACAAGAGAATTATGAAAGAAATTTCTAGGATGATGGTGGAGGGAGATCCCAAAACCTGTCCAGCAGGTCTAGAGATCACCAAGTTTTAAAATAGGCTTTAAAACCAAGGAGCCTATTACTGGAGTTGGGAGTGTGTGGAAATAGCTGTGATGCAAGCTCTGAATGTTGAGCACAGCCCAAAGTTACTATTTCCTCTGTACAACTATGATATAACAGAATCAGGTAAATAACCAATTTCCAGAATCCACTGAGAATTCCCTTAAACATCTGCAAATTAAAGATTCTCTAAGCCTTCATCAAGGGATATAAACAAAATTTTAAAGCATGTTGTCCAAGAAAGCTTACTGATGGTGACTAGACATGCTTTTTTTACAAAATTTTAAAAAATCAACCAAAATTCTGTCATCAGAGATAATCACTGTTAACCTTTTGCTCTTTATCTTCCAGTTTTATTCCTATGTACTTCGTTGGATCATACTGTATATTTAGTTTTGTGTCTTCTGTTTTACTTTATGTACACAATGAGCATGTTCCAAGTCATTAAGAGATTTTTTGTTATCTTAAGTTTTATAACTACATGATATTCTATCTTATGAATAAATTATCATTTATTTGACCCATATCCTATTATTAAACTTTTATGGTTTTCCCAATTTTTTATTTTATAAATATGACTTGATTACCTTAAATACATAAATCTTCTTCTACATTTATGATTTCTATAGAATGAATTTCTAGAAATAAAATGAACATTTTTAATTTTTATTTATTTTTCTGTGCAGTGGGGTCTATTTATTTATTACTATTTTTATTTCTTCCAGCTTTATTGAGAAATAACTGACTTACAACAAATAAACTATTTTAAAGTTCTTAATATATTTTACCAAATTGCTTTCTACAGAGGTTATAAAAAAGTTTCCTTAATATTTGGCCCACTTTCTAACAAAGAAGGATATGCTAGATTTCCTTCCAATCAAATATTATATTTCCAAGTCTTTTTTCTTTGTTGTATGGATCTGTATTAGGCAGAATAATGGCCCTCAAATGGTCCCCTAATACTTAGAACCTGTGAATATATTACTTTACAAGGCAACAGGGACTTTACAGATGTAATTATGGTTAAGGAATTGAGATGGGGAAGTTCTCTTGGATTACCCAGTTGGGCCCATTCTAATCATGAGTCTTTTAAAATGGAAGCACCTTTCTAGACTGTAGGGAACGAGAGAGATAGTGTGAGAAGGACTTTGAAAATGGATAAAGGGGGCCACAAGTTATGGAATGCAGGTACCTTATAAAGGCTGGAAAAGACAGGGAAACAGATTTTCCCCTAGAGCTTCCAGAAAGGAATAAGCCCTGTCTACTCCTTGATTTTAGCCCAATTAGTCCCATGTCAGATTCCTTTCCTATAGAATTGTAAAATAACAAATTGATATTAAGCCACCAAATTTGTGGTAATTTGTTGCAGCAGCAATAGAAAAACTAATATAGCATCTAAAGCTAAAGCCAGAGATTGAGGTCCATAGGAATAAATTATTGTAACTTCAGAACAAGGAGCATTATATAGCACTGTTGATATTTCGATCCAAGTAAGACTAAAGAAGTAGAGGCAGACAAAACCACCAAATGTGAATTGGGCAGCACAATCTTAAGAGGTCCCAAGAGCTAGTCTCAATGCCTTGTAATGCAAATTAGAATCTGCCAATATGTTATTCTGCTTTTCTTCTGTTCTCGCTTTTCTTCCCACCTTTCTAATGTTTAAAGGACGTTAGCATTTCATAGAGGATATTAAAGCAATCTAATTATGTGTAATCTTGTCTGTTATTTTTGGAATAAGGAAGAGAGCAAATATATTGCATGTAAAATCTTAGAACTTGATAGAATTTTTGGATAACCTAATCCAGTGAGTTTCCATGTAACTTTAGGGATCTTGAAAAGTTTTATGGAATGTAGGGGCTATCATGTGATGTTGAGAGAGAAGCCAAGCAATTGCTGTGTTACCATCCCTCATTTCAATCAGGAATGTTCCACTTTAATATGTTGTATATGTGGGACTTCCTCATAAAACTTGACTGAAAAAACCCAAACTTATACTGTTAAAAAATTTTTTTCAGATACTATAGAGTCCACCTCCTCTTATTTTATCCATGTGAAAAAAGTCCAAAGAAGTTATGAAAGTTCTAGGCAAAATCTACTCAAAATCTGAAGTTGGTCAAACCTCAAAGAACCACTAAAAATAGAGTATTATTGGAAAATTAATCCCAAGACTTTCATATTCTTTTGTAGCATCTATGACTGAAAATATGCCATCCTTTACTGTAAAAATACCACTAATTTACTTTTCCATATAACACAGAATTGAATTGTTTTCAGGCAGTGTGCAATGTAATGAGTTTCAAACACAATTTTTTCTTGTCACCAAAACCACAAATTTGAAATATCTATCTGAAACAGGGGTACCATTTGTGATTGTAAATATTGATTTCTATACAAGGATAATTAACCTTTAAGTGAATTGAATTTATCATGTCAAATATGCTACAATATTTAACATATAGACCTATAAAAGCAAAATTGTATCAGCTGAAGGTTTGGAAGTGGATGTATTATACTAAAAGGGCACTTTTCATAGGAAAATATTTCAAATTTTACCAATAGTTTTTTGATCTATTTTTTTCTTTCCTAATGTAACTAAACCTCATAATTCAGATAAATGAAGATTAAAGAGAAATGATGGGGAAAAAAGGCCCAAGTTAATTAAAGCCTAAGTTACTAAATTTTAAGAAATGCACTTTAGTTATTTTTATGTTATTTGAGCAATTGAAACTAGGCTAATAAATATTATGTAATACTACTAGATTTGATTTAATGACAACTGTTTATAGGTAAATGGGTGCTAATATCCCTCCTTACCTTCTTTTTACACTATTAATTTGCTTAGAAACTTAAAATAGAAGTAAACTTTTGTCAACCTTTGTTTAAGTATCAAAGCCTCAAATTAATAAGGTTACATTTTGGTCTTAAAAAGAACTGATAATTTCACTCAAAGAACAAGGATCAGGTGAAAATTATTTACCTCAACCAGTATACCAACAAAAGAAATAGAAGCTTCTTCATATTTCACAAAGAATAACTCAGGATTAGTTTTCCAGACTCCAAGCCATTTGCCTTTCAACTTTAATTTTTCTGATAGGTATCTACACATAGCATCATCAGCATCTTCTGCCTAGCAAAAGAAAAAATAGATACATATAAATATATGAAATTATAGATTTATATATTTTTTTACTGATTTCTATTTAAATATGAAACCAATATACCCTTAAATAATGAAAAACCTGGGAAATAATAGATTTTTAACTGAATCTATATTTAATGGAAAATAGAAACATTAAAAAATTAAAATAAATTTAAAAGAGATCTATTCACTCAATAGAGTAATTCAGAGATGAGACATCTACTTACTATGTTTTAAGTAATTGGTTTTATTAATCCACTGAGCAAAAAGTATACTGTAATTATACATATAAGAACATAGTTATTATCATGTTAAAAAACAGTAATGATTTTTTCTGAACTTTAAAGATTTATTGACTTTATTTAAAATTTATTCAGTACATAAAAATTTAAAATAGAAATCCACTCTATAAAACAAATGAGCATATTAAGCATTCAATAAATATCTGCCCATTTGATTTTCTACATTTCAATTCAGCGACCTCAGGATGACAAATAATATAAACTATTATGAAACTCAGTCATTAGACACTGACTGATTAATGACACTGTGATTTATATAAATGTTTTTCAATTGCCTTTAAGAGGTCTAGCCTTCTCCAACCTCAAATATCAAATATAAGTTGGTCATTAAATACCATTCTAGTTTTATGGTAACAGTATTTTTAAAATTTTTCTTCTGATTATAAAATATGGTTAACCTACAGAAAATCTGCAAAATACAGATAATATAAGGAAAACAAAAACCACCCCTAATCCTGACAGCCAGAATAACCATAGTTGATATTTTGGTGCATTTCCTTCCAGTCTTTTTTCTATGCGTATATTCATCCATACATATGAAGCATATGTTTTGTCTTCTGATTTTTTTTCCTTAACATTATAGCATAAGCATATCTATAGTTTCTGAAAACATAATTTTTACAGCTGCATGATTTTCCATTACATGAAGCACCACAAGTTCTCTACAGCTCCCATAGTTGGAAATTTAGTTTCTAGTTTTTAAATTTTATAAACATCGGTGCAATGAAATCCTTGTACACAAATTCTTCTGCTATAACTTAAAAAAAGAAAAAACAGGTTAGAAAAAACAATATTTGCTCTATTCAGTATTACCAAGTATGTATCTTCTTTACAAAACCTCATTCCACATCCTAGACTGATGGCTGGGAACCACTCTTAAAGTGTAAACGTTTTGAGTTATTGTAGTGTAAAAGTCAAGGCTAAGTAACCTTATCCTTATGCTTGGGCACAGATTGTTAACGAAAACACTAAGATGCATACCTGGGCACTGATAACCTCTCAGAAAACCAGAAAACACTATGTGATCTGTTTGAAGGAAAATCGAATTGGAACTCCTTTAACAGGGCCTGGGAACCTCCAACAAGGTGGAAGCCCTGGAAATGTGGAGTAAATTTACTTTTTGAAATGCAGGGTTTCTTTGTGCCCTCTGTACCCCCATCAGCATAGGAGGAAGACCCGAGTCCCTCGGTGCTGGATTCCCGTCCGTTTTCTTCTCCTTCTCCTCACCTTGCAGCCCTGCAGCACCTCGTCGCAATACAGCGCCACCTTCTCCTCCCGCCACATCCCCCTCATAGGGGACACGCAGACTGGGGGCAGTGGCTGCGCCTTCTCGTCATCCTCCTCCGGCACCGACAGAAGGGGCTCCTCTTCCTCCTCCTCGGGCCCCTGTCCCCGGCCCTCGGCCTGAGAGCCCGGCAGGAGCTGGAGCCGCCGCTGGGCCGCCTCCCTGAAGTCTTTCCGCTTCACGGGGCGAGGGGAGGCCACCACCCACCGCACGGCAGACGCGGCGCTCTTCAGGGTCCCCGCCTCCACCGAGTCCCCGGTGAGCGCGGAGACAGCCTTCTCGCCTCGCCGCCCGGGGCTGACGGTTCGGACCGAGTCTTCAGGCACCGTGGCTCTGGATCCCGACGCCATCTCCTCAGCCCCCTGCGGGCCAGAGGCAACCGTTAGTCGCTTCACGGCCCGGATCGCGCGGGCCAATGGGCGAGCAACGAGCGCGGCGGCTCGAGGGGATCCCGCCTGGAGGGAGTTGGGGGATGGGGTGGTGGGCGCGGGTCCGGGTGTCGCGGGTGGTTCTGGGGCTTGGAGGTAGGTAGGGATACTGTGGGGCGCGACGGGGCCTGGGGGAAGGAAGGTTCTGGGCCGTCTGTTGGCGGGCGGGGGAGGGGCGCCACTAGATGATGCCCACTCCGCGGGCGCTGGCTCTAACCTCACCCTGCTCACCTCAGAACCATCCAGAGACAGAATTCTTTCCCCATGGAGGGTTTTCATGGGGTCCTCACACGTTTTCAGGGTGATTGTGCGTCACCCTCCAGGTCCTCATGACCTAACGAATGTAGGTGGTACCTAACCCTCTACACACGCGTGTCTGCACAAACACAACCTGGAGGAAAATTTATTTTTATACTGGGTGGTGATGATAACTACAACTTTCTGGTTATTACTAGAGTTAACTCCAGTGTCAAATCCAACGACGTAGGTTTCCTCCAACATATTCACAGGGTTCCCAAAATAAAATTTCTTTTACATTTTAAGCAAGACATTTTCTGCCAAGAAGGATAGGTTAGTCTATTTTCATGCCCCTATTGTGTTGCTCAAAATTCTCACGTGAAAGATTATATTATGTAACTGTTAAACTGGACGCAAATTTCCAGCTGGGAGTAATGTATGCAAACTATAATACTTTCATAATAAAAGTCTGCTCAAGATAATACTTTGGAGAACAGAGACCATTCGTTTCTGTGATTTTACTATTGAATGTACGTTGAGCCAACTGGAATAACTTTTGTTTACAGTCTAGCTGTGAAATACTGCATAGGGGCTGACAGCACCCGAGGAGAGGAACACCATTGGGAAAACACCTGCCTGCCTTACCCCTGATCTGGAAGGACACTGTGTTAAATTTGGAGTCTATTTTAAGGTAAATATTAGTATTAATATCGTGTAACTATAGTTCAGGGAATAATTACAACATTCATCATGTTTAACTCTAAGTTTATTTCTTTTGTCAGAAGTCCTGGATTTTTTAAAAAAATGATCCCACGCTGTAGATTTTACTCACCAAAAGTAAAATCAGTTACATAAGCATCTCCTGAAAAAGTTTGTTTTTAATAAAATTTGGGTTTTTTATTCTTAGGTTCAGAATAATAGAGACCACTTGTCTTAGTCAGAAGTTCGAAAACAACAACAACCTCCCACCAAAAAAAGAGAAAGAAAACAAATATTTGTTAGGAACCTGCTACGTGCCAGGCAATGCATAAATGCCAAGTCATAGAAATAAAAGACAAAATTCTTATCCTCATAATCGTAGTGAAGAGTGCAGATAGGTGAATAGATGATTGTGTTTGGTAAGGACCATGATAAAAATATATATACATATATAAGTATACACATATATATGTATATACAAATGTATGTATATATATATATTTTTTTCCACATTGTGAGAAAAAGGGACTTTTCTTCCCAGAAGGGATACTTAACCTGAATCTTGATTATGAAAGCAGTATCTGTTCCCTGAGCCAATTTTGCAGTACAGAAAAGCATAAGAAAGAAGAAAATTTAAATAACTTTTTCTTCTTATTGCAATGCCTGGCAATAACAGCTGCTAAATTTGGTAATATTTTCTTTCAGTATTGTTTCCTATCATATTATTACAAAGTTTTGGTCCTATTAACTTCATTTTGTTTTTTATTTAGCGTATCATAAGCATTTTCTTATCATTACAAATTATTTAAACACATCATTTTCAATAGCTACATACAATTTTTTGTATGGATGTAATTTCCTTAAACCTATACTTTCAGATATTTGGGTTATATTAATTTTTATAATAATAAATATGCCATTTTTAATATCTTTGTGCATAAATTTTTGAAAATTTCAGATCCCTTCACACCACCCCCAGGGAAAAGTGGGATTCCTGAACCAATTTAAGGCTCTCAGTATTGCAAAATTGTTTCCAAAAAAGGATGCATTAATTTCTACTTCACTTAGCAGATAAGATTCCCAGATGAGCTGTTATGAAATAGAAGTAGACTATAGGTGCCTACGGCAGGGGTAGAATGGGGGATGGAGTAGGGTGAACATTCTAGGAAGAGAGAGTTGTTAATGGTTTTACAGAGGGATAAAATAACTTGGCCTAAGTAGGTTGGTATTGCTGGAATAGAGGGGACAAATTGAATAAAACCTCAGGTTGGAAAACACACAAAAGTGGAAAACACACTTTATATTACACTCTCTGATCCAGCACCGTCAGTATGCATTCCCATATAAACTTTCCCACCTCCTTCCATTACATATGGGCCACTCCTTCAGTGTCCTTGTCTTCCCTTAGCAGACCCAATACTCCCCTGGCTGAGTTATGTTGTATCTTTTTTTTTTTTTTAATCACCCAAAAGATCTCCTATAAAATAAATTCTTAGGCAAAGAGATAGAATATGATTAAAGTACACACACACACACACACACACACACACATCATAGAAAAAACAGTTAGGGACTTCCCTGGTGGCGCACTGGTTAAGAATCCACCAGCCAATGCAGGGGACACGCGTTCGAGCCCTGGTCTGGGAAGATCCCACATGCCGCGGAGCAACTAAGCCTGTGTGCTGCAACTACTGAGCCTGCGCTCTAGAGCCCGTGAGCCACAACTACTGAGCACACGTGCCACAACTACTGAAGCCAGTGTGGCTAGAGTCCATGCTCTGCAACAAGAGAAGCCACCACAATGAGAAGCAGACGCACCACAATGAAGAGTAGCCCCTGCTCGCCACAACTAGAGAAAGCCCACGTGCAGCAATGAAGACCCAACGCAGCCAAAAATAAAAAAATAAAAATTAATTAATTAATTAAAAAAACAGTTAATAGGAGTATACCTAGAGATGAACCAGATACTGAAATTAACATATGAAGCCTTTTTTTTAATTTAATTTTTTTATACAGCAGGTTCTTATTAGTTATCTGTTTTATACATATTAGTGTATATATGTCAATCCCAATCTCCCAATTCATCCCACCACCACCCCCCACCCCCGCTTTCCCCCCTTGGTGTCCATACCTTTGTTCTCTACATCTGTGTCTCTATTTCTGCCTTGCAAACCAGTTCATCCGTACCATTTTTCTAGATTCCACATATATGCATGAATATACGATATTTGCATCTCTACAAATGACCCAATTTCATGGCTGAGTAATAGTGCATTGTATATATGTAGCACATCTTCTTTATCCATCCCTCTGTTGATGGACATTTAGGTTGCTTCCATGTCTTGGCTATTGTAAATAGTGCTGCAGTGAGGGTTGGGGTGCATGTGTCTTTTTGAATTATGGTTTTCTCAGGGTATATGCCCAGTAGTGGGATTGCTGGGTCATGTGGTAATTCTATTTTTAGTTTTTTAAGCAACCTCTATACTGTTCTCCATAGTAGCTGTATCAATTTACATTCCCACCAAGAGTGCAAGAAGTTTCCCTTTTCTCCACACCTGCTCCAGCATTTGTAGTTTGTAGATTTTCTGATGATGCCCATTCTAACCGGTGTGAGGTGATACCTCATTGTAGTTTTGATTTTCACTTCTCTAATAATTAGTGATGTTGAGCAGCTTTTCATGTGCCTCTTGGCCATCCGTATGTCTTCTTTGCAGAAATGTCTATGTAGGTCTTCTGCCACATTGATTGATTTACATATATTGAAGAATCCTTGCATCCCTGGGATAAATCCCAGTTGATCAAGGTGTATGATCCTTTTAATGTGTTTTAATGTGTTGTTGGATTCTGTTTGTTAGTATTTTGTTGATGATTTTTGCATCTATATTAGTGATATTGGTCTGTAATTTTCTTTTTCTGTAGTATCTTTGTCTGGTTTTGGTGTCAGGGTAATTGTGGCCTTGTAGAATGAGTTTGGCACTTTTCCTTCCTCTGCAATTTTCTGGAAGAGTTTGAGAAGGATGGGTGTTAGCTCTTCTCTAAATGGTTGACAGAATTTGCCTGTGAAGCCATCTGGTCCTGGACTTTTGTTTGTTGGGAGATTTTTAATCCCAGTTTCAATTTCATTACTTGTGATTGGTCTGTTCATATTTTCTATTTCTTCCTGGTTCAGTCTTGGAAGGTTATACCTTTCTAAGAATTTGTCCATTTCTTCCAGGTTGTCCATTTTATTGGCATAGAGTTGCTTGAAGTAGTCTCTTAGGATGCTTTGTATTTCTGAGGTGTCTCTTGTAACGTCTCCTTTTTCATTTCTAATTTTATTGATTTGAGTCCTCTCCTTCTTTTTCTTGATGAGTCTGGCTAAAGGTTTATCAATTTTGTTTATCTTCTCAAAGAACCAGCTTTTAGTTTTATTGATCTTTGCTATTGTGTTCTTTGTTTCTATTTCATTTATTTCTGCTCTGATCTTTGTGATTTCTTTCCTTCTGCTAACTTTGGGTTTTGTTTGTTCTGCTTTCTCTAGTTCCTTTAGGTGTAAGGTTAGATTGTTTATTTGAGATTTTTCTTGTTTCTTGAGGTAGGCTTGTATTGCTTTAAACTTCCCTCTTAGAACTGCTTTTGCTGTGTCCCATAGGTTTTGGATTGTTATGTTTTCATTGTCATTTGTCTCTAGGCATTTTTTGATTTCCCCTTTGATTTCTTCAGTGATCTCTTGGTTATTTAGTTACACATAGTTTAGCCTCTATGTGTTTGGGTTTTTTTCGGTTTTTTCCCCTGTAATTGATTTCTAATCTCATAGCGTTGTGGTTGGAAAAGACACTTGGTATGATTTCAATTCTTTTAAATTTACCAGGGCTTGATTTGTGACCCAAGATGTGATCTATCCTGGAGAATGTTCCGTTTGCACTTGAGAAGAAAGTGTAATCTTCTGTTTTCACATGGAATGGCCTATATATATCAATTAAATCTATCTGGTCTGTTGTGTCATTTAAAGCTTGTGTTTCCTTATTAATTTTCTGTTTGGATGATCTGTCCATTGGTGTAAGTGAAGTGTTAAAGTCCCCCAATATTATTGCGTTACTGTTGATTTCCTTTTTTATAGCTGTTAGCATTTGCCTTATGTATTGAGGTGCTCCTATGTTAGGTGCATATATATGTATAATTGTTATATCTTCTTCTTGGATTGATCCCTTGATCATTATGTAGTGTCCTTCCTTGTCTCTTGTAACATTCTTTATTTTAAAATCTATTTTATCTGATATGAGTATTGCTACTCCAGCTTTCTTTTGATTTCCATTTACATGGAATATCTTTTTCCATCTCCTCACTTTCAGTCTGTATGTATCCCTAGGTCTGAAGTGAGTCTCTTGTAGATAGCATATAGATGGGCCTTGTTTTTGTAACCATTCAGCGAGCCTGTGTCTTTTGGTTGGAGCATTTAATCTATTCACATTTAAGGTAATTATCGATACATATGTTCCTATTACCATTTTCTTAATTGTCTTGGGTTTGTTTTTGTAGGTCCTTTTCTCCTCTTGTGTTTCCCACTTAGAGAAGTTCCTTTAGCATTTGTTGTAGAGCTGGTTTGGTGGTGCTGCATTCTCTTAGGTTTTGCTTGTCTGTAAACTTTTGATTTCTCCGTCAAATCTGAATGAGACCATTGCCAGATAGAGTAATCTTGTTTGTAGGTTCTTCCCTTTCATCACTCTAAATATATTGTGCTACTCCCTTCTGGCTTGTAGAGTTTCTGCTGAGAAATCAGCTGTTAACCTTACTGGAGTTCCCTTGTATGTTATTTGTCGTTTTTCCCCTGTTGCTTTTAATAATTTTGCTTTGTCCTTGATTTTTCCCAATTTGATTACTATGTGTCTAGGCATGTTTCTCCTTGGGTTTATCTTGCCTGGGAATCGCTGCACTTCCTGGACTTGGGTGGCTGTTTCCTTTCCCATGTTAGGGAAGTTTTTGACTAAAATCTCTTTAAATATTTTCTCGGGTCCTCTCTCTCTCTCTTCTCCTTCTGGGACCCCTATAATGCGAATGTTAATGCATTTAATGTTGTCCCAGTGGCCTCTTAGGCTGTCTTCATTTCTTCTGTTCCACGGCAGTGAATTCCACCATTTTGTCTTACAAGTCTCTTATCCGTTCTTCTGCCCCAGTTATTCTGCTATTGATTCCTTTGAGTGTGTTTTTCATATTGGTTATTGTATTGTTCATCTCTGTTTGTTGTTCTTTAATTCTTCTAGGTGTTCTTTAATTCTTTTAGGTGTTTGTTCTTTAATTCTTCTAGGTCTTTGTTAAACATTTCTTGCATCTTCTCCATCTTTGCCTCCATTCTTTTTGCGAGGTCCTGGATCATCTTCACTATCATTATTTTGAATTTTTTTTCTGGAAGGTTGCCTGTCTCCACTTCATTTAGTTGTTTTTCTGGGGTTTTATCTTGTTCCTTCATCTGGTACAAAGTCCTGTGCCTTTTCATTTTGTCTGTCTTTCTGTGAATGTTGTTTTCATTCCACAAGCTGCAGGATTGTAGTTCTTCTTGCTTCTGCTGTCTGCCCTCTGGTGGATGAGCCTATCTAAGAGGTTTGTGGAAGCTTCCTGATGGGAGAGACTGGTGGTGGGTAGAGCTGGGTGTTGTTCTGGTGGGCAGAGCTCAGTAAAACTTTAATCCACTTGTCTGCTGATGGGTGGGGCTGAGTTCCCTCCCTGTTGGTTTTTTGGCCTGAGGCGACCCAGCACTAGAGGCTACAGGCTCTTTGATGGGACTAATGGCGGACTCCGAGAGGGCTCATGCCAAGGAGTACTTCCCAGAACTTCTGCTGCCAGTGTCCTTGTCCCCACCGTGAGCCACAGCCGCCCTCCGCCTCTTCAGGAGACCCTGCAACACTAGCAGGTAGGTCTGGTTCAGTCTCCTATGGGGTCACTGCTCCTTCTGCCTGGGTCCTGATGCACCCACTACTTTGTGTGTGCCCTCCAAGAGTGGAGTCTCTGTTTCCCCCAGTCCTGTCAAAGTCCTGCAATCAAATCCTGCTAACCTTCAAAGTCTGATTCTCTGGGAATTCTTCCTCCCATTGCCAGGCCCCCAGGTTGGGAAGCCTGATGTGGGGCTCAGAACCTTCACTCCAGTGGGTGGACTTCTGTGACATAAGTGTTCCCCAGTTTGTGAGTCACCCACCCAGTGGTTATTGGATTTGACTTTATTGTGATTGCGCCCCTCCTACTGTCTCATTGTGGCTTCTCCTTTGTCTTTGGATGTGGGGTATCTTTTTTGGTGAGTTCCAGTGTCTTCCTGTCAATGATTGTTCAGCAGTTAGTTGTGATTCTGGTGCTCTCGCAAGAGGGAGTCGGGTTTTGTTGTATCTTAACTCTATTTATTGGACTGGTGGCCAGGAGGAAATACGGGGTAGATCGTCAGGAGTGGTGCATGTAAGGCAGAAGCGTATGCATCATCTACAAGCACAGGGGGCTAGCCTTTAATGGGTAGATGTATGCCCAGAAGGTTCAGGGGAACCTGGGGATTTAATATTTTCAAATGTATCAACCAAGATATCCCCAAATCTCAGGTTCTTACTCCTTCCCAATCAGAGCCTCACTTTGATTTAGCAATCTTGCTCTGACTGAGAACTCAACCTTCTCTGAAACTTCATTGCTTTTGTAAAAACATGGAGCTCAGTTTTTTCCTGCCCTTCTGCAGAAAATGAGTCTTTTTATTTGCTGCAGTGGAGGCCTCTCGCCTCTCACCTTAAATTGGTGATTAATCACCTTAGCCTTTCTTTGTCTTATGCCAGTGCATAGAATAAGTAAGACTCAGCAAGAGCCATAAGAGTCCTTATAGTTACCTCTTCCACCAAACTTCTCAAACTCCTGATATTGTACCACCAGTGAAGCCCTTCCCTTTCACCCGCAGTGAAAGTTTTAACCATTGCACCTACACCTGCTGGGAGCTATTGGTATTCCACCTACCACCAATGACAGTGTTCTCATTGACAACTGGTGATCCAGCTCCAAAATATCATCTTATAATCTGCTTCCATACCAACTGTCTTAGGTTGGGGATCCTGGGATTCAGGATCTGAGAGAATGATTTGCATGAAGAGAATTTGAGGGAGTGTTTTTGAGAACAACATCTGTAAGGGAAGGAAGGAAGTGGGAATCTGTGCTTTCTAACAGCAGTTAAAAACAATTCTTGCGTTTGATTAGTAATTCTAACTAGCAAGGCCTTGTGTGCTAAATGAGGCCAGCTCTGTTTTATACTTTGCATGGGAGAGGGGTTGTGTGGGGGGGGAGGGGCATATTTCCTCTCTTTTTGGAGACTTTTCCTTGAATTGGATATTCCTTGCCATTGTAGTGGTAAGATGCATGATTTTGATAGTTGAGTGGTGCCCCAAGGTGGAAGGGATGTTTCCAGGCCTGTGTAGAGATTAGGGCTCAGGTCTGCCAAAAATGAGGAGAGAGTCTGTGGACCCTGCATACATGGGCTAGTTTCCACATTGGGTTTTGTTGCAAAAACCTCCTGGTTTGTCTTGTTTGTCACAAGGACCTTGAAGGGGATACCTGACTATAGCATAATTGAATTTGAGAAACTTAAGGTCCTGGATATCGTTCTTTCTCTCTCATTCCCAAGGATCTGATCAGTAGCCATTGTCCTACCTTGCTCATGCTCTTTTCTTCACCTGAAATGCCTTTCCTGCTTGCCTCTACCTGTCAAAATTCCTCTAAGCCAGGTTCCAATACATGTCCCTTATCAGAACTAAACTTCCTCTCTTCTGTGCTCTCAGAGTACTTTTTGCATAGTATTATAATACACTGAAGACACTTCATGTGGAAAGACAACGACATTTATAGTTTTTATCCCCAGTACTTAACCCAGTTTTGGCACATAACTAGTAAAAGTTTTGAGAATTACAGCACTCTAGGGGTACAATAAATATTTTTCCAACTTCTGAATTGTGAAGTGTGTGTCTGTCTCCCTTAGGTTATTACCTCCATGCTGCTCAGGATCAGGTTCTATTCATCTTTATGTTCACTACAGAACTTTTTTAGCACGGAGGTCTCACATTGCCAGTTCTTAGTGCATGTGTGCTTAAATTCTTTAGGTTAATGTAAATACTTGTATGCTGTTATTCTCTTTGGGTTGGGCTGTCTTGGGGAGCTCTGGGTTAAATCCACAGACTGTTTCCAATATACAAATCATCTAAATGACAAAATTTTATTTAAAATTTAGAACTCATTATTTTTTATTAGAAAAATATTTCTGATCAAAACTCCTTTTCTTCTTAGGTCACCGTGAAGTAGAAAAAGTAGGCTTGTAAATTCTTTCAATCCTGCAGCCCCTGAACATTAATTCCTTGGGATCTTCTTTTCTCTTTTTTGGTCTTAGAGGGAAAGAACAAAGCACTGATGAGTAATAACAGCTAGCCCTAAGCAAAACAAAGCATAGATAAGGCTCACTGACATTTCAGAGGTCCACCCAGACTCAGAGTTTTCTTGATGTTTCATTATTATATAGAGTAGGGGCTTGGAGTCAGGAGCAGTGCAGATCCACTTGACATAAATACAGAGATGTAATAGGGGCTGGAGTGTAATAAAACCAACTTTGGGATTGGAGGAATGTACTGGAGAGATAGCAGAGACCTGGAGGATTTGTGAAATGTGAAATAAAATAGAGTCACTAATGTCAAGCGGTTTTAAAATGGAGTCGGGGGCTGTTAAGGAAGTGGACATTACACATATCCTCACCAGGTGGAACCATGAAATTTTGAACTGAGCCAAACCACAAGTAGTCCAAAGATTCTGCAAAAACACCTGCAACTTGTCAGAGTAATGGACTTTTACCTCCCTCTAGTGATAACCTTGGCATTCAGTAATGTTTAGCAAAGACTAGCCTCTGCCTCCAACTCCAATTAAAAGTCTTTGTAATGCAAACCTCCCTTCTTTGCCTTTAAAAGCCCCTGACTTTTTCTCCCTAGCAGGACACTGTTCCGGGTTGCTACCTGAATTTGCATGCCTTGAATTGCAATTCTTTGATCCCAAATAAAGGTTTTTTGCCTGATTATCCCTTTCTAGTTTTGTTTAGGTCGAGGGGTGTCAGAAGTGGGATCTGAAGTGCTCTCAATGCCACAGGACTGATATTTCCTGGAATCAGTGTGGTACACCCAGACCGTCTTGTGTTCACTGTTTCCACAGATTGCCATCTCCTTCAACTGTGAGTCATCTCAGGCTCCAACCTCCCTTCTTTAAGTTGAGGTTGATCCTTTCTTTGGGATCAGGTGGGCAGTTGCCCTGGAGGACGATTGTCTCACTCTGCCAGTTCATTGCTGTGCTGCTAGAGGGGTTTCCCTTCTGCTGAGTGTTCTGATCTCTTTGCATGCTTATTTAATTATGGGATTGTACTTTTTTAAGTTCCCCCAAGTATCTTCCCCCAGGGACCCAAGTAGGTTTTATGTTTAAAAACTATGGTCCTGGGAGTTCCCTGGTGGCCTAGTGGTTAGGATTTGGCACTTTCACTGCAGAGGCCCAGGTTTGATCCCTGGTCGGGGAACCATCCCACATGCCACACAGCATGGCCAAAATCCAAAAAGAAAGAAACAAACAAATAACAGAAAACAGGGCTTCCCTGGTGTACAGTGGTTGAGAGTCTGCCTGCTGATGCAGGGGATGTGGGTTCATGTCCCGGTCCGGGAGGATCCCACATGCCGTGGAGCCACTGGGCCCGTGAGCCATGGCTGCTGAGCCTGTGCATCTGGAGCCTGTGCTCCACAACGGGAGAGGCCCACGTACTGCACACAAAAAAAAAACAACCAAAAAACCAAACAGAAAACAAAACAAAACAACAACAAAAAATCCCAAAAAAACTACGGTCCTTTATTTTATAAATTTCTCTTTCAATGGACTGATAATACCAAATATGATTTAAAATTACAGTTGGCTACAACGGGGTTCTTTTGAAGTCCCTAAACTTATTTTTCTGCACAATAAACTTGAGAACTGCAGAACTAAGCAAACTGAATGGGGCACTTACTTTAATTGGTATTTAGAAGCCTCTAAATGAGTCCAAGATTCCAAAATCACTTCCCTCCAAGATACAAATTCTAAACTTTCTGAAGTGGTTTCTCAATTACAAAAGACTCATAACTCTTCTCTGTCACCCCCTCCTGCTCCTCAAGTCTGCCCTCCACCCACCCATCCTCCACCTCTCCTGCTTCCCTTTACCCTTCCCTTGCTGAACTCCCATTTTATTCCAAAGACCCCAAGGCCTCCCTTGATCTTCCAGCCCCAGCGTCTTCTATTTAAACCATTTCAAATTCTCCCCTTTAAATTGGAACCCAATAATGAGGGCACCCATTTATTTATTTGGCCATGCCACATGGCTTGTGGGATATTAGCTTCCTGACCAGGGATTGAACCCTGGCCGACAACAGTGAAAGCATGAAGTCCCAACTACTGGACCTCCAGGGGATTCCCAGGGCACCCTTTTAAATGTCATTTATACACTTTGGACGAAGGCAGAATTGTGAGCTATAGCCAAAGAATTTCCCAAGGTTACTGAAGATCCTCACCATTTTGCAAAGGAATTTATCATTGTCATTCAAACCTATGAGCCTGTGTTTCCTGATCTTTAATAATTAGTCCACATGCTCATGGGAGAAGGTCAGGTCCAACACTAGATAGCTAATGCTAGCTGGAATCATCCTCTAGAGTATATTCAGTGGATCATGGCAGCTGATCCAAAGCCCAAGAAGCAGCAAAAACCTTATATGAAGCCATCCGCCAGGCCTTCCCAAAAACCGGTTGATAGGAATAAAATGCAAGCATGCAGTCAAGGACTGACAAACCTGTGCATGACTATTACAACTGACATAAAATTGTTTTCAAGGAAAACTCTGGACTCCCTTTGGATGCAGAGTCACTAAGGTGGCCTGTAACTCCATGTTCATAAACAGCCCAGATGAAGATCTCACAATTCTAGTAAAATGAGCACAACTTAATTGGGAAACCATGGTAACTTCCAATTTGGTTAATCTGGGAAACCAATTGACCTGGACTATTCAAAATTCAAATAAATGAAAAGCCACTAAAATCGTGAATTTACAGCTTTAACAGGTATAGGCCTCTTTCCAGGGGCTTCAACAAACTAAATCAAAGCCTCACACTCTAAAAATGTCTGCCATTTTTGCGAGAAACATGGCCATTGGAAAAAGGACTGCCTTAAACTAAAACACTTTAAACAATCCTCCCGTGTTAAACCTTCAGCTCCTCTTATGGACTGAGCCTGCTCGAGGACAAACAAGGGGTTTTTCCAATCCTTCCCTTTAGTCTTCTGGACGAAACTTCCCTATGATTGGAAATGAAGTCCTTACTGTCTTAATTGACACTGGAGCCACACTATTCATGCTCAACCACACCAACCTCAAACAACCCCTTCCTCAGAGCACTGAGAAAATTCAAATGGTGACAACATCTAATAAACCCCTGATAGCTTATAAGTCCCTTAACTTTCCTTTCCAACTGGGCTCCCTCCAGGACAGCTATTCCTTCCTATTGCTCAATTCTGCTCCTGTCAACTTCCTAGGAAAAGACTTTTTAGAAAAATATCATGCTGCCATCTTTTTTTCTCTAAAGAGGGAAATTATCCTCGAAATTGATTTAACCCCCTCAACAACTAATGGCATTCCAAGCTCCTCAATCCTATTAGCAATTTTTGCCCTTAGGACAAGCTTTTAAAATGACATAAACTTAAAACTCCTCAAAGAAGTCCCTGAGAAACTCTGGGCAAGCAAAGTCCACAACCAACATTGGGTGGATTCATTCAGCTCTCCCAATTCAAATTTAAATTGACCCTGGTAAGCCTTCTCCTAATATTGAACAGTATCCTTTAAATCTTGAGGCCTTAGCAGGGATTAAACCAATCATAGAGGAATATAAGACACAAGGCCCCATAGTCCCTTGCACCAGTCCTTGTATTATACCCATTCTCCCTATTAAGAAACCCGAGGAAGAGGATAGAGATTTGTCCAAGATTTGAGGGCTATTAATAACATTGTTATCTCCTTCTTGTTATCCAGTTGTCTCCAACCCTCATACCGTTTTAACGGCAATACCTACAGAGAATAAATTTTTCACCATAATAAATCTCTGTAGTGAATTTTTCAGCATACCCTGTGGATCCTGAAAGTCAATTTTTATTCACTTTCATGTGGGAAGGACAACGATACCCCTGACTATACTGAGAGCTTTTTCTACTTTTCACAGATCCTAAAAGCAGATTTAGCAGATGTCGTTTTTCCACAAGGGTCTACCGTCTTTCAATATGTTGATGAACTTCTTTTCTGGTCCTCTTGCAAGGAAGCAAGTGAGCAAGATAGCATCCGTCTCCTCAAGCTGTTAGTAACTAAAGTCTTTAGGTCTCTAAAGAGATTACTGCTTACTCAAATTCAGATCAAATACCCAAGACACTTGATCTCAGATCAAGGACTCCTTTTAGACTCTAAAAAGATTCAAAATGTCTCAAATTTCCCACAGACCAAAAGACAACTTCAAGGATTTGGGGGTCTGGCCAGATACTGTAGGAACTGGATACCTAACTTTTTCTTAATCACCCAGTCTCTTTATGCGTTGCTCAAAGCTGAAAGACCAGATCCCTTAGAGTGGGAAGAAAACACCTTATGGCTTTCCAGAACCAGAAAAGCAGATTTCTCAGCCCCCCTGCTTTAGGACATCCTAATTACCAGCTTCCTTTTTTTTCTCTTTGTGTAGGAAAGGGAAGAGAATGCCTTAGGAGTGCTTATTAAAAGGCACAGAGGTCAACACCGACCCCTTAGCTATTGCAGTCAACAATTAGACCCTGTAGCCAGAGGTCTTCCCCCATGAACGAGAGCTATTTCAGCTGCAGCAGCGCTTACAAGATCAACTGAAGAAATAGTTATGGGCTGTCCACTCATCACCTATGTTCCCCATGCAATAAAAGCCTTGCTCAATTCTCACCACACTAAACACCTTTCTGCAAGCTGTCTTACCTCACACGAAGTATTGTGACTAACTTCTCACATAACTCTTTCCCACTGCAACGACCTTAACACTGCAAGCCGTGTCCCTTTACCTACTGAGGAAACTCCTCGTGACTGTCTGATCCTGACTGATCAGTTATTAATCCTAAGAGCTGACTTACAAGAAACCACTGTTGCTAATGCAGGGATTTTACGATTTATTGATGGTTCTTATTCGAAAAATGGCAAAGGAAAATGTTGTGCTGGGTGTGCAGAGTCACCTCATCTTTTGAAGCTATTTTGAGGCAGCTCTGCTGATGACTGCTACGTCAACACAACACCTAGAACTCCCATGTTTTAACCAGAGCTTGCACCTTAGCAGAAGGCAAAACTGTGAGTATCTATACAGATAGTCACTATGTCTTTGGGGTAGTTCATGACTTTGGCATGCTTTGGAAAGTATGGGGGGCAGGGGGAAACCAGATTAAGAATAGAAATTGGGATGATCCAACTTCCATTTGTTCTAGCCGTCATTTAGGTACTTGTACGTTCAAAACTAAATTCAGGTGAAACCAAAGGAAATAACTTGGCTGATCAGGACACAAGGACAGCTGCCTTACAAGCTACCCAACCTGAAACGGTTATAGCAAACTTCAGATTAAAATTTAATTTAAAAAATTACTAACATCAGATGACATCTGAGGCTAACGGCTTTCCCAAGATTCAGGACCAGGCTCGTATGTACATACACACTGCTCTAACCTCATTACTGATCCTTTTCATATTAGATCTGCTGTATCACACTGAATAATTTACTGAGTTTAATGATACTCATTCAACATTGTTGCTAAGGAAGGCCCACTCAATTGGCTGGTGGTTTCGGAATATCACTTAATGACTTCCGTTATTATGTCCAAGATGGTGACATTTTGTTGGAATCTATTTAATCTTAGCTGAAGTTTTTACCTTCGCTGAAGGTGCTTCTTTTGAAAAATGGGAAAGATATTATTCTATTTGAACTATTGAACTATTCCCAAAATAGAGCAACTGGGGGACCTCTCTCTGAGTGCTTTGGTATGTCTCCAAAGACCACAATCATCCAGATCTAAGGGCTTCATAGTTATACTCATCACCAATAATTTCTCCTTGGTTTCCAACACTCTGGTAGATTTTAAGCATCCAGCCCTTAGACTGTCTGCAGAGTAAAAGTATATGATAAGGTGTCTCCACCTTGCTTTCAGTTGACACAAAACATTTCTCTAAAGCCCTATCCCTCTAACGTTACCACCTGTACCCTCTTTTTCCTTTACCTCTGGCATCAAGCAAATGATTGACCAAAATTTGTAAGAAATGTGATGTCATCAGTGTATGCCAAGCCTTTTGTCATACTGGGATCAGATGGTTGTCAGCCGACCCTTAAAAGTCTGTAAAGGCCGCATTGATCCTTGGCTAGGATGGATCCCTAAGTTCATACCTGTCACTGAAAACATGAATAACCACACTCTTGGCAGCATACTATGTGCCTCTTCTGGATACACCTTTGTATGTGGTTACAAAGGAGAACCATGGGCTTATGAATATCTAGAAGCTGGCATATGACAGGACAATACCTTTGGGAATACCATAAATTTAGTTTCAAGCTTTTGTTAAAGAAAAAATCCAAGGAGAGACTTGGCAGCCCCTTTTTATACCCAATCTACTCTCCATTGATTACCGTTGCCAAAGGACTTGTTCCCTGGATTGGTGCAGTCCATAATGACCTGCTGATAAAGAGTTTATCTCTAAGCATAGCTAAATTAGAAAATTCTACCTCTCAAGCCTTGGCTCAACGGCAATGATCCCTGAATTCCCTAGCAAGGGTTACATTTAGATAATCGAATAGCACTCGATTATCTCCTTGCAGAACAGGTTGGTATCTGTGCCATAGCCAACACCTTCTGCTACACCCGAATCAACGCTTCCGGTGAAGTTGAATTAGAACTCAAAAAAATTAGAAAAATAGCACAAGACCTCTCTGGTCCAATATCCTCTGGTTCCCTATTGATGTTTTCAGCTGGTTTCCTTCAGGTACAGGCTCTTGGCTAACATCAGGACTTCAAATTTTGCTCATTCTTTTATTACTGGAATTTTGCTATGAGTGCTTGATTTAAACTTCTTATGCTACTCCTCACTCTGTTCTGCTCCAAAACATCTATGAAAACCAAGATTATGGCTGCTCAACAGATTGAAATGATAGATAAGTCTTATTCACCTGAACCTTCATGTAACTTGATGAAATTCCCAAACAAGGAAACTGCCTCAGAATCACTTCCTAAACATCTCCCTGTTGCTCAAATGTGGCCTAACCCTTAAGATACTGACTCCTTGAAATAACCACGGAAGATTAAAAATTCCCCCCAATGTAGGACATGACTTTCTGGGACAGGTCCATCCCAGCAATGTGAGACAAAGCAAATCTGTAAGTTGATTAGCAATGTTTTAGAGAAAGATCTTGATCAAGAGGGGGAAATGTGAAATGTGAAATAAAATGAAGCCACTTATGTCGAGGGATTTTTTAAAATGGAGCCAGGAGGCCATTAAGGAGGTGGATCTTACGCATGTCCCCACCTGGTGGATCCATGAACTCTTGAACTGGGCCAAACAACAAATACATTTGACCCTGAACAATGTTGGGGGTTAGGGGCACCAACTCCCACACAGTCAAAAATCCTTTAACTTTATAGTAGGCCCTCTGTCTCTACAGTTCTGCATCTGCAGATTTAACAAACCAATTAAAGTATTTGTAATGCAAAACTCCCTTCTTTGCCTTTAAAAGCCCCTGACGTTTACTCCCTAGTAGGACACCGAGTGGGTTGCAATTTTTTGATCCCAAATAAATACTTTTTGCTTGATTATGCCTCCTAGGTTAATTTACGTCTACAGAGTCACCTTCCTTTCTTCCTAGGGATGACTCACCTGACTTTAGGCGAAAAGTTGGAACCAGAATTAAGAGGAACTGAGGGAGCCCATGCTGCAAAATATTGTCTTCCAAAAAGGAGAGAGGAAAACAATTCATTCATTTTTACAGGTATGTATTGAGCATCTACCTTATGTTGGCATGGTATTAGGTGCAGGGGATATAGCAAAATATTCAAAAATCTCTGAACTTGCATTCTTGTTGGGGAGACAGACAACAAACATGATTTTTTTAAAGGAAGTAAAATTCCCAACAGAAATGAAAACATACATCCTCACAAAAACTTGTACATGAATGTTCATAGCAGCATTATTTACAATAGCCAAAAAGTGGAAAGAACCCAAATGTCCATCAGAAAAGGAAAATGTGGTATGGCCATACAAAGGAATATTATTTGGCCACTGAACGAAATGAAGTACTGATGCACGCTGCAACGTTGAAGAACCTTGAATACATGCTAAGTGAATAAAGTCAGTTACTAAGGTCCATATAACATGTGATTCCATTTATATGAAATGCCCAGAACAGGCAAATCTGTAGAGATAGAAAGTAAGTTAGTGGCTGCTTAAGAGTAGGGGCAGTGGGATGGTTTGAGAGGAAATGGGGACTGACTGCTAATGGGTTCAGGAATTCGTTTGGGGACAGTGAGAATGCACTATAATTGATTGTTATGTTGGTTGTACAGCTCTGAAAATAATACTAAAAACCATTGAATTGTATGCTTTAAATGAATGAATTGCATGGTATGTGAATTATACCTCAATTTGAAAAAGTAAAATTCATAGTACATTCAGTGGTGGTAAGTACTATGGAGAATGTTAAAAAAATAAGGGGGAAGGGCATGGGCCCAGCAGGGATGGGGGAGTTTCGGAGGGTGGAGCTGGGATACAATTTTTATACAGAGTTGGGAGGGTAGTCACCCATTGGTGACTTTTGAGTAAAGATCTAAAGGAGGTCAGAGGAAAACCTTCGACTCTGACAGCTGCAAGGGAAGGAAAGTTTTTTCCATCACTCAGTCATTCCCAGAGGGCAATTCAGATATAACGAACACTAGTAAATAAAGAGTAACTACAGTTTTATAAAGTTCCTAATATTGCTAGCATATTATTTTCACATTTTTCTACATGTTAAGCATTTAAATAAGGCCGGTATTGGTCAGAAAACGCTAAGTGAGTGCATCTGATGATTTAGGAATTTTAGAAGTTTTGTGTGGTGGAGATTTGGTTTTTATTGTTTCGAAGGTGCACACAGTAGGATGCTGTAAAATGTAGTTGTATTTTTTTTTCTTTTGGCTTTCTCAATTGAAAAAATAAATATTAATAAACATGGCAGTCAGCAATTTATTCCCAAATACTTTAATTTTTCTCTCTCTCTTTTTTTTTTTTTTTTTTTTTTTTTTTGCTGTACACGGGCCTCTCACTGCTGTGGCCTCTCCCGTTGCAGAGCACAGGCTCCAGGTGCGCAGGCTCACGGGCCTAGCCGCTCCGCGCATGGGCCACGAACCCGCGTCCCCTGCATTGGCAGGCGGACTCCCAACCACTGCACCGCCAGGGAAGCCCAATTTTTCTTTCTTGAAACACTGAATTTTCCCTCTTCCTTAACTCTTTGACGTTAACTTTGTAAACAAATACTCTGAATGTTGGGACAATACAGGAAACGTTCTCCGGTTGGCATGTAACTCCTCACTTTGGCCAGAAGAGGGCACTAGAGAGCTTTTGGGCTGCTTAATCCCAAAGGGCTGGGTGGAGCCTGAAGCATTCCTTTAGCCCCGCCAGCTCCACCCCTGACTCAGAAGCAGGCTACCCACCACTTTTCTGAAGGACAAGCTCAGACACATTCTTTAACGTCTAACACTTCTTTAACCTCAAGCGTGACGTTCTGCGAAATCTTCAGACTCTGACAATATGTGCTTATCCCCTGATACTTGTTTTGTGTTCTGCTTTTCTTTTTAGCTCTTTTTGAGGTAAATACAGGATTTTAATTTCATTTTACATAAACCACACAAAAGAAGCACCAGACATGTTTCAGGGCACATGTGTCCCACTAAAGAGAGGCAATACCGGATATGGACAAAGTACAGCCTAAAACCGCTGACTGTAGCTCCTCTGGTAAAAATCCGGTGGCCTAAACTTGTCTTGATACCCAACAGAAGTCTTACATTTCAGTCTTGACAGTAAAGGACACTGAGAATGACAATAGCTAATTAGCCTAAGTTTTGAAAAGTGCACAGATGTCTAATAGTAGAGCAAACATATTTAAAATTGATAGTGACCAATGTAAGATAGGCGCTCTTAACTACCGTGGATTAAAGTAGAAATCGTTAAAGACTTTTAGGAAGACAATTTGGCAAAACCTTTCAAAATTTTAAATGTGCTTAACTTCAACCCAGTAATTCCACCTTTAGAAATCAGTTCCCTTGTATATGTGCACAAAGATGTTATATATAATAATTATAATAATGATAATAGCGTTTAGCTCTTACTATGTGCCAGACACAGTTGAAGAACTCTATATATGCTGACTAATTTAATTCTAAAAGTAGCCCCATAACCCCCACTTTATTTGTTTTTTTTTTTGTTTTTTCGGTACGCGGGCCTCTCACTGTTGTGGCCTCTCCCGTTGCGGAGCACAGGCTCCGGACGCACAGACTCAGCGGACATGGCTCACGGGCCCAGCCACTCCGCGGCATGTGGGATCTTCCCCGACTGGGGCACGAACCCGTGTCCCCTGCATCGGCAGGCGGACTCTCAACCACTGCGCCACCAGGGAAGCCCATAATCCCCACTTTATTAATGAGGAGACTGAGGCACAGAGAGGTTAAGTAATAGCTATGAAGTGGTGGAGCCAGGATTCAAATGCACGTAGCCTGAGTCCAAAGTTCATGCTCTTAACCACTATGCCATGCAGTACAGGGTATTTACCGTTGCACTGTTTACAATAGTGTAAAACTGGAAACAACCTGTGACTATTGCTGGTGGAATTGTTAAATAACTGATGGTAACAACCATTTTATCAAAATAAATTCAGTTTAGATATGCTGACTCTGAAAGAGCCCTAAAGATATATTGTAGGGAAATGGGAAAAAGGGGAGAGAAGCAATTCTCAGAATAATACACATAATATCCCATTTATGGGGTTTTAAATTACAAATTTGTATTTGGACATATATAAAAGCATAGTAAAAGGATGGAAGGACCTACAGACATCAAACTATACTAGTTGTAGCCTTTGGAGAGGAGAGTGGTACTGGGGATGGGGGTGGTTGTAAAATGGAAATTTCATGTTTTACTCTATATAATTCTGTATTACTTAAATGTTTAAAAAAAATAAAATAGGGTAGGGCTTCCCTGGTGGCGCCCTGGTTAAGAATCCGCCTGCTGATGCAGGGGACATGGATTCGAGCCCTGGACCGGGAAGATCCCACATGCTGCGGAGCAACTAAGCCCGTGCGCCACAACTACTGAGCCTGCACTCTGCAGCCCGCGAGCCACGACTACTGAGCCTGCGTGCCTAGAGCCCATGCTCTGCAACAAGAGAAGCCACTGCAATGAGAAGCCCGCGCACTGCAAAGAAGAGTAACTCCCGCTCGCCTCAACTAGAGAAAGCCTGCACACAGCAACGGAGATCCAATGCAGCCAAAAATAAATAAATTAAAAAAAAAAAAAAAATATATATATATATATGTTTATGTACTACAGTAACACCCTTTCAAAGAAAGAAAATGATATAGTGTAAAAATAGAAGTGAATCTTAGCAAGCAGTCCAATCAACCCCTTCATATCACAAATGAGGAAACCGAGGTATGAAGAAGTAAAATGGAGTGTGTACTGTGATATGTACAATGACTGAGCAAAGCTAGAGCCTGCCAGCCTGACTCCTGCCTCAGGGTTCTTTGTGTTACATCATTTTGTCTTTCCCTGGTAAAACTTTAGAAAATGAGTTATGTACGATTTTAATGTGATTTCACAGTTACACTTTATTTCAGAGATTCATAATTATGTGGCCTTTAAAAAGTTTTGGAAGGATATATAATGTCAGTCATTCAATCAACTAATATTTGTTAAATCAAATAATTAGACATTACTAATTAGATGCTAATTGCTATATGCCAGGTACGGTGCTAGGCCCTGGAAATATAACGTTGATCCAAATAAACATAGTTGCTGCCCTCAAGAATTATGAGAAAATGTTTACCACATTACCATACATGAAGAAAACAAAATGTGAAGCTGTATATGCTGGAAGAAAATGCACAGAAATGTTAACAGTGTTATCTTAGGAGTTATGTGGTTCTTTACATATTTCCATGTTTTCTTTTTCTTAAAAGTTTTCGATTTGCATGTATTTCTGTCACAATCAGAAAAATATACATTAAAGAATCAAATAGTAACTCCTTGCTAAGTTTTGAAACACATTGAATTATATGAAAAGAGAAGAAGGCCATTGTACTAGAGGAAATCAAATGTTTCCTGGGGGAAAAAAGGCTTGGGCTAGCTCTTCTATTCCTGACTCTAAACCGTAAATCTATGGAATTCCCAGACTTCTCAGAGGGCACAGAATGGAGGTGGGAGACATCTTTTGTCGCATTACTAGGGAACATCAAGCGTAAACTTCAGAAGAAAGAGCACTGGGAACCACTTCAAGCTAGCAGTTTAGTCCTCAGGCTCTGGAGAAAGACAACTCAGCTCGGCCCCTTTCTAGCTATGCAACTTCGAGAAATGTACTTGCCTTTCTGAACTTTGGTTTCTCCATCTGTAAATGGGAACAAGAGAGAAATTATATCACCGTGTGGTTATGAGAATTAAATGAGATAATGTCTGTAAAATGCTCAAAACCATGATTGTCACATAATTGTACTTAGTTTATGTTACCTGCTGCCAAGCTCAGCAGCAGGAGCTTATTCTCACTTCCCTGACCATCCCCCTGACTCTGACGTCCACACACAGTCCACACACATATATGGACCCATACACTGAAAAACACAGGCTAACCCATAGAGAAAATGTCATTAGTGCACTTTTAGGCCGTCATACAAATTAGCTCCTCTACTTAACAATTGGACTAGAAAGAGAATTGCCCTGAATATTAAAATATAATAATAAATAGAGAATGATACATTAGAAGAAAATTTTCACATTATTGTTTAAGCTTCCTCTATGTCCATAGAAATAGGTCTTAATATTTTACAATATCCATTGCTTTATTTTCCAAGTCC